CTTGCTTAGAAAAAGAAAGTCAGTGAAAATGCTTTGTTGCGTGTTTACTTCTGATGGAATACACCAATACCACCATAAAAGCTAGCACCAAAAACCGTAACACATATAAACGCAGGCTGCAATGCATCAGGCTTGCCAGTGCGATCATGCGTTTTTGCATCAAACTTGAAGTATCTGAGGTCGTTAACTGAATGAATGGTTGTTGTTTTACACCTACCTTTTGCGCTCACTAACCTAATTCATCGTAAATTTTGCATAAAGAAAGTGAACAATTTCCGTCTAACGGCCTTTCTTTGAAAATGACCTAACTGTTCAGTGAGCAATTTTCCCGCCAAAATTTTAAGTCCCCATGCGTGAGAACCATGCATACCTGAGAGGTGAATTAGGAATCGTTAAGTTGTACGTGGACAGGGAACATTTCCATAAAATTTCATTTCTCCAGCCTTACTGGTTGCCGACTTAGTAGTTTTCCTCGCCAAAAATTTGACATGCTCATACGCGAGTACCACGCGTACCTGAACGCCATTGTATGTGGACAGGGAACATGCCTTTAAAATTTCCAGCTTTTCTATTGCCAGCTTTTCTGTTGCCGAGTTAGCAATTTTCTTGCCAAAACTTTCACGTGTCCGTACTTGAGAACCACGCATAAGTAGGGGCTGGGTTTGAAATCTTTAGCTCACACATGCACAGAAAATATCCCTGCAAAGTTTCAGCTCCCTATCGCTTTCCCGCGAAACAACTTGCATATTTTTTTAAGGCCCCCGTACGCGCTTCCCAGGCGTACGCGAATGGTAATGTTAAAACGGGAGGATTGCGCTGGTGGTCGGTACATGCTCCTGAAGTTTCAGCTTTCTAGCTTTTCTGTTTCTCAACTTGAAATTGGGCGGCGCGCATAAAAATGAGGTAAATTTGAGGCTCGTAGGCTGTAGTGTATGAATTTTGCAGTTGTGTACTCTCCTGGGTATGTGGCTGATCCCAGTATTTGTATGCGTACAGCGTTACTGGTGGAGATTCCTTCTCACATGGATCGTGTACTCTCTGTTTTCTACTGTCATTTGGTATAAAGCTACTCGACCTCAGATATCTGGTAAAACACCAAGGTTGGTTCTGAACACCAATTCTTCATTTTAAACGACAGTGTTCCCTGTAGGCGCATGACACACCATATCCTGTATTGAAATTACGATGGTGTTCTGGGCGGTAGAGATATTAATAACGACACATTTGGAATATAAAATATAATCAAAAAATCAAATGAACAGGAATGTTTCGATCCATTTTTATTTGCCATTGTGAAGGCATGGAAGAAATCATTACTACTTCATCGGTGCGCTGTAGAAAACTGACGCGAGAATTTCTGGAAGACTTTTCTGAAGTTTTTGTGTTTTCATTGGGAATTCCATTTTTGACATTTTTTTTATCCTCGTGTTCCTGTTTTTTAGTATTCCTTGAATTGGTGGACGTGAGGGTATCATAAGGAATACGGATACGGATTTGATTTTTGAGTTATGGCTGTTTTTTGTTCAGGTTGGTCTACAAGTGGTTTTTGTTTCTGCATAAACTGAGTTACGTTCTCGGAATCGCAGGCTATATTTTAATTATGCTTACACTGCTTGGCTTGAATCATATTTTTGGAACGAAGCCAAGTGTACTGATGGACGCCGGCCTGTTGTTGCTTTTTTATGGTCTATACTATGGAGTGTTGGGCCGAGATTTCGCTCATATATGCACCGATCGGATCGCATCTAAAGTTGGGGTACGTGATTCGGCGCCTGTACCTTATTTTGAAAGGGTCGTTTTTAGGGTATCCATCCTGCTGATCCTTCAACTTCGTTTTTCATAAGTTACTCAAGCGGAAAGCTCATCTTTTTTTGTGCTAACTTCTTTTATTAGATTATCTTACTCTCGCAAATTGTTGTGGCACTTGTGGCCGAACTGGTACTCGAGATACCGTAGTTCACAGTTTCATCATTCTATTTTTCCCTATTTGTTTAAATATTGCTTTCAGTGAAAGACGTGGTACTTTAAGTTTTTGGTATATTTTGTGACAATAAACGCAATTTTGCAACTGCTTTTTTGAGCATGGGCAACTCTTTTACCTGACTTGTGCATATAAAAGAAGGGAAAGCATTTAATTTCACAAGGAAACTATTAAATTTTGTTTGCCTTTTTTGTTCAGAATGATTTTTTTAATTTTTTTGAGATAATTCGATCCTCT